GCCTGATTATGACCATCACAATAGCCCGGCAATCAGTCGGCGACGCACGAGATCGCACTACACAGATTCCATACTCTGCATGGACCAATCAATGAATTGCATGAGTGATCGACGGAGGAATATGGGAACAAGAAAGCGTGTGTGTAAGAGAAAAAATCCACACTAAAGATGTGCACAGTACTCTATATCGCCTCCTCCCCCTCATTTTTGTGCTAGTTTAGTAAATACGAACCGGAATGAGCATCCGACACATTTTTTGATCGGGCCGATCAAACTACGCGAAAAATAATTAAAACAATCGTGGAGTGGATCGTGTTTAGGCTTTGGAAGAGACTGTAAGAGAATAAAGAACATATTCACCGTAGTGACAAGTAACTGTGGTGATCATAAAGTGAAATCGGACGTTACCAAGCCCGCATGGTAATACACCTGAATATTTAACCGGCATGGTAGAATGACGACTAATGTGGTAGGCTCATGCATATGCAACCGCATTGGCTGAAAATCAAGACACTGAGGTTACGAATGCGTGTAGTATCTCTACAACGGCAGAGTAGTAATGAATGTTTGACTGAAGTTTGCAACTTTTATTTGTGCGTTATACCCACACAGAATTATCTCCATACTTGATTCTCAAATGATCGTCTCACAATATCGTTTCTCGTCTAGATAGAGTATTCACAGTTAATGAGATAGAACACAATTGGACTCGTGTAGGAACTCATTAGTTATGCAATGGGCATGGTTAGTTATAGGGGGATGGGAGGAAAGCCTATATCAAACGATTGGTTGTCTGGACGGTTGCTAACCGTCTTGATTGGCTGGCAGTTTCGGCCAATCACCTGAGTTCGGCCATTCCTGTTCGGATTGGTTGTCCCAGGACAAAGCAGTTTTCAGGCAGCATGCTGTCTGAAGCATACACTCTGAAAACTGCTTTGTTCTGGGACAACCAATGAGAATAAAGACAGGCGAACTCAAGTGATTGGCCGGAACCACCAACCAGTAAAGGCGATTGACAGCAATCCAGCCAACCAATTTTTCCAATAAATAATCATGACTTTGCATGATAGATGAGTTCCCGTACACTTCCAGCTATTGTATTTCACTACCTGTCGAGTTCCTGTCTGAACAAAAAAAACCTATCGGAAGACGATCACTTGAGAATTCAATACTGAGTCAAACCCTTTGCGGTTACAATACTGTATCCCTGACACATACAGCTCCTCTCTAATTTCGCGTAATTCTAAAAGTCGTCGGTCTACACTCACGTTGGCATTCACCAAGTACGCGTACTAATTCGTGCTTAAGGATAGTACAACCATCCATCACAAACAAGTCATTTCTAGTTATCTTGCCATCAGAATCCAAACTTCCATACAAAACGCAGACTTCCGCAGAGTTACCAGGCCCACGAACTATTGAAGCCGCAGCCATGTCTGGATGAACATCAATGAGAAAAAAGGCTTAAACAACTCCCCCCTCCGGAAGTGTGACCACGTGAGGTGGTGTCCCACAAGCCCTAAAACCTATAATATAACGTGGCTGTTTGCCTTGAACGTACGCGTCCCTCTGAAAAACGAATCGTCCTATGTTCCGCTAGAACCAATAAATCACGCTCATTATTATCGAAATTGCTTGTGCATCCCGTTTCTCTGTTACCACTGCGGAAGCACCAGTACAATTTCTACTCCTCGAATATCAAGTAATCAAAAGCATCACTTTGACTATATATCCGGAAAAGGAGTCATATGTATTAAAATTGCGCATGACAAAATCGTGAAAAGTGAGAAAAGGACTATAGGACAGTGGCGTTATTTTAGAAACATGTTTTGTTTTCAAACTTAATTACCTTTCTCAAAATTGAATAATCATCAGCATCGGGCAGTGAAGCGAACTTCATCGATCGCTGCCAGAATTGAAGTGCATCCGGATATAGATTTTGGATTCGATAATTTGTATCACTGAAATTATACACCCCTATTGAGCTGCTTGATTACTACGTTTGTACAAAAAACGACTCGCGACATGTCCCAAGAATTAGCACGTTCCACTGAGAATGTGTTGTGACATTCACCCTCTTTTGGTTATTCGATTCGATTCATCTTCCTCTCTCTCTCCCCCGCCCTCCAATAGCAAACTGATCAACTAAATGAATGTGTTCCAAGGATGCCGAATGGTGTCAGCAGACTGTCCCGTTCACCGACCGCCGTTGAACACAGATTCTTTATCGTGTAAAAATCACAATTGATAAATGTCCACATGTTCCCTTTTATCTTATCTTATACTCGCTTTATTGAATATATCACTGTACTAACATGTTTTAGAAAAAAGGAGTCCAATCAAAAAACCACTATGCAAATGAACCACTGCAGATGACTTGCAATGCTTTCTGTGGATTCTAAGATCGATCATTAGAACGATATTCAAATTGCACAGACACCTGATACAGTTTTGAAAAGTGTCTAGTGCTTTCATAAATCGAATGGGATCATCGTAGCAAAACGTTCTAAATTGATGTGACCAGTGCTCAAGATGTTGACCACTGATCCTATAGTGTAATCTGAATGTTCGCGATTCGAATAGCCGCAGGGTAGGTGTAAAACCTATATAACGCACAGCGTCAAGTACGATTAAGGTAAATGACCACAATATGTTATGGGTGTTGGGATTTGTGGGATTGAAGAGAATCACGACACATTCTCAAATCCCATCTGCCCGGGCTTCAACATGAGACCGGGAAGTCTTTGTGGTCATTGGTGATCATCCAGATATCATTGAGGTCTGAACATTGCGTGAGTCTCGTAACTTTGCTGAAATCGACGTCTCACAGGGCCATTGGGATTTGCTAGTGACACAACCGGAAATGGTGGTAAGAAACTTGCATTGTTGGTGATATAACGCAAAATGACACAGGGACATCAAATGCTACTCTGTGAAGATCGAACTTCTCGGTTGACACATTATTCTACAGACAGCAGTCTGTGACGATACCAGCGATCTTGATGTGTTGTTGACCAGCGAGGTGGATAGGTGAACTCCAAAAAGCAACATTATTACATTACGTCTCCTGTTGCGCCTGTTCATAAATGTGCCGACAATGACTAATTCGATATTGACTTTGATAATTGGAAGAAAGGCAAGGAGACCGCATCCATTGTATGCTGCAGCAATGAGTAGGTGCAGGTATCACTTTTTAAA